CCTTAGGTGTACGTGGCTGGCGCCTCAGCCGGTTGAGCTATAGGCGCCGAGCCATCATTGTTGCTTTTGCTGGCTCAGGCCAGGTTCAAACTAGCCAGCCTGGGTGTATGTGGCTGGTGCCCTACCCACTGAGCTATGAGCACCGTCCCAATTTTTCTTAATAGCTCTGCACATGTTGGAATTCCTTTTTTTTTTTTTTTTGAGATAGAGTTTCACTTTGTCAGCCTCAGTAAAGTAGAGTGCCATGGCATCATAGCTCATAGCAACCTCTGACTCTTGGGCTTAAGTGATTCTCTTGCCTCAGCCTCCCAAGTAGCTGGCTCTACAGGTGTCTACCACAACTTTGTGGGGAGATTTGGGGGTGACCTACAAGTCTTGCTGTCACAGTAGGAAAGCAGCCCAGATATTTTTAGAGACAGGGTTTCACTCTTGCTCAGGCTGGTCTTAACCTGTGAGCTCAGGGCAATCCACCCACCTCAGCCTCCCAGAACACATAGTAATTCAACTGCAGGGTTTCAAAATGAAATGTTATTTGTGATCATAACTGTTCAGCTAATGGTTTTCATTTTCTTCTTTGTGCTTTTACTTCCTAAATTATATTTATTTACTTATTCATTTATTTAATTTTTTTAAAGACAGAGCCTCAAGCTGTAGCCCTGGGTAGAGTGGCATGGCATCATAGTTCACGGCAACCTCCAACTCCTGGGCTCAAGTGATCCTCTTGCCTCAGTTTTTCTATTTTTAGAAGAGATGGGGGTCTCACTTTTGCTTAGGTTGGTCTTGAACTCGTGAGCTCAAGCAATCCACCTCCCTCAGCCTCCCAGAGTGCTAGGATTACAGGCATGAGCCACTGGGCCCAGCCTATTTTCTAAATTTTACAAAGAAAAGTTCTTTTAGGCTCGATACCTGTGGCTCAAATGGCTAAGGGGCCAGCCACACACACCCAAGGTGGCGGGTTCAAATTCAGCCTGGGCCCGCCAAAACCAACAATGACGGCTGCAACCAAAAAATAGCCGGGCGTTGTGGCGGGCGCCT